CCCCAAGCCCAGCGGGCGAGGCCCCGGGCGCCCCGCAGCCGCCGCCGCGCCATGCTGCACCTCGGCGAGCTTTCCGGCCCCGACGCGCTGCTGCTCAAATCCACCGAAGGCTGTTGCGTCGAACCCGGCGCTGAACTGCCCCGGCTGCCCGCCAGGGACGCTCCCGCGGCCGCTGGCTGTCCTGGAGGTGAGGAGCGCGGCCAGAGGTGCGCGGGTGGGGGCGCGCGGGGTCGCGGTCGCCAGGGGCTGGCGCTGGCGCCGTGGGGATGCAGAGATGGCAGGCGCGGGGGCGCGGGGCGCGGGGCGCGCACTCCATCACCCCAACACCCCCAACCCCGGCGCGCGGGCGCTAGGCCGCCACCACCTCCGCCCGAACCTCTGCGCTCACCAGGGCTCCCTGTTGCCTGTGCACGTGTGTTTTGCCTGTGCATGTTTGTGTGTACGTCCCGGGGCGTATGCTGGCCCCTGCTGGACCACGCTATGCAAAAGACGCTTTGCCTGCGTTCGGTGAGCTCCCACGGCTTCCTAGGGAGGGACTGCAGGTAGAGACAGCTCTTTAATGTGCCCGGAGCTGATCCCTGCTCCCTCTTCAGCAGGCGACTTCCTGAGCTGGGCTTTGAGCAACTGCGGCGCCGGAGGGGACTTAGCCGACTCCTGCTTCCTCGAGGGTCCCGCACCCACGCCCCCTCCGGGCCTCAGCTACAGCGGTAGCTTCTTCATTCAGGCAGTACCGGAACACCCGCACGACCCGGAGGCACTCTTCAACCTCATGTCGGGCATCTTGGGCCTGGCACCCTTCCCCAGCCCCGAGGCAGCAGCTTCCCGGTCCCCTCTGGATGCCCCATTTCCCGCAGGTCCCGATGCCTTGCTCTCGGGTCCGCAGGACCTTTACTCCCCGGATCTGAGCGCGGCTGCCTTCTCAGAGGCGTTCTGGGAGGCTTCGCCTGCCGCGGGCGCCCCCTCGCAGTGCGTGTATGAGCCTCAGCTCTCTCCGCCCGACGTCAAACCTGGTCTTCGGGCTCCTCCGGTGTCTCCAGCGCTGGACGCTGCCTCGGCCTTCAAAGGTCCCTACGCCCCCTGGGAGCTGCTTTCTGTCGGGGCCCCAGGGAACTGTGGGTCCCAGGGAGGCTACCAGGCCGCCCCCGAGGCTCGCTTCCCCTCAATAGGAACCAAGATTGAAGACCTGCTGTCCATCAGCTGCTCCGCCGAGTTGCCGGCCGGCTCGACCAATAGACTCTACCCATCCGGGGCCTACGATGCCTTCCCGCTGGCCCCGGGTGACTTAGGGGAGGGGGCCGAGGGCCTCCCTGGGCTCTTGTCCCCTCCTAGCGGGGAGGGAGGGAGTAGCGGCGACGGCGGAGATTTTCTGGCGGGTACGCAGCCTCAGCTTTCCCCGCTGGGCATTCGCAGCGTCGCCACCACGGACTTTCCAAAACCTCTCGTGGCCGACATTTCTGGGAGCGGTGGCGTGGCTGCACCAGCCGTGCCGCCGCCGTCGGCCCCTTTCTCCCAGGCCAAGACGCGGCGCAAGGGGCGCCGTGGCGGCAAGTGCAGCGCGCGCTGCTTCTGCCCGCGGCCTCACGCCAAGGCGTTTGCTTGCCCGGTAGAGAGCTGTGTGCGGAGCTTTGCGCGCTCCGACGAGCTCAATCGCCACCTGCGTATCCACACGGGCCACAAGCCCTTCCAGTGCCGCATCTGCCTCCGCAACTTCAGCCGCAGCGACCATCTCACCACTCATGTGCGCACCCACACTGGCGAGAAGCCCTTTGCCTGCGACGTGTGTGGCCGTCGCTTCGCGCGCAGCGATGAGAAGAAGCGGCACAGCAAGGTGCACCTTAAGCAGAAGGCGCGTGCAGAAGAGCGGCTTAAGGGCCTCGGCTTTTATTCGCTGGGCCTCTCCTTTGCTGCCATGTAATCAGGAGCCGAGTTTGGAGGTTGGGCGTGGAGGTTGGGGCGTCGCCACCTGGCGCGCACAACAATATCTGGCCTGACCCCTCCCCTGTCTTCTCATTTTCCCCTCGCACGGCCCGGGTCAGGCCTCCAGTTCTGTCCAGTTCCCTTCAAACGCCCGCCGCACACGCCCCGTTCAGCACCAGCTGCGTGGATAGTTCCCGCAGTCCAGGAGTTGTGTTAGTGTCTGCCGCGATCTGGGGAAAGTCCTCTCCGACCACCCACTGAGTAGGCACTTACTTGGAACTCAAGAGTCTTTTGTAACTGGCGCGCGCCCCACAGCCTCCTGTATAACCCCCCAGAGATAGGGTGGGGCTGCGCTGAGCCGGTCTCGCGCGGAACTTTGTACAGCGATGTCGTTTCCAGAAGCCATTGGTTGTAACGTTTTGCTTTGGGGTTGTTTCCTTTTTGTTGTCGTTAATTTTTGTAAAGCAGACGCTACTCTAAGCAGTTGACAAAACTGTTTATTTTTGCAATTAAAATTATTGTGCTAAAAGCTTACCGAATCTGCCATGTAAGCAACGCCTGACCTAGGAGAATATATGCCAGAAGACAGAGGTCCCTATGCTCACGGGTATAGGCTCTGAACATGTTCCAAACCTGCTGTCAAGCACATCTAGAATGCAGCAACACATAGTAGGCATTCAATAAATATGTATTGAACTAATGAATGAATTTAATCACAACTGACCAGAAGGCTAGAGTTGATCCTGGAACTAGAAGGTGGTTGAAAGGGGTAGGTCTAAATATTTCATATGTGTTATCCTCTTTAACCATCACAGTTTCTAGTTAAGCAGCATAAACCCCATTTCAAAGATGAGAACGCAGTGTAGGTAAATTTGTAGGTAACCTAGCTGGAAACAGGATCAAACAGCTCTGACTCCACAACCAGTGCTCATTTCCCAACACTAGAAAGAAGGTGTCTGAGCTTAATCCAACTGCTTGAAAAGGCTTCCTGCTAGAAAATCAGAAACAGGTTTGGCAACTAGAGGGAGCCCTAGGCAGTACCGACAGTGGCAAACAGTTGTAGTATTTCAGTGTTTTTGAATACACAGTGTTTGTTCAGTGTCATATGCGTGCCAGCCAGTGCCTGTATATTGGCTCAAGAGTCACATGATGGAAGGGCCAAAAGGGTCTCAGCATTCAGCTGGACTACTTCTGAGTACCAAGGAGCAGGCCCTGCCAGCAGCTCACAGCTATTTGCTCTTCCCATAAAAGATTTTCTTTAGCAGGCAGCAGCCAGCACCTGCCGCAGTCCTTTGCCAAGCTTTCCTTCCAACTGATCCTTTCATGGTTTGGGGGAGGGGCAATGAGGAGAAGGCAAGAAAAGCATGCTGCTGTAATGAAGAAGATGGGTCTCCCTCTTTCTCTCTCTGAACTGTCTCCCCAAAGCTTTTACCTTTATTCCCCCACACACACACTTTGGGAGTTCTATGCACCCCTCTTCCCTCCCTATTGACTTTCTCTGCTAAGGTGGAGCTCCTAAGCTGAGCTGTTCCTGAACAGAGCACAGCTCTATGAGGCCAGAACAACCCAGCCTCTGATCTTCTGCTCCCTTCAACGTCTCCAGCCCTGGGAATTGAACCAAGGACCTTCACACTGAGCTGTATCTCCAGCCTTTATTTTTTTAACTTTTTAATTTTGAGACCTGCTCTCACTAAGTTAATAAATTGCCCATACTGGGCTTGAATTTATGGTCCTCCTGTCTCAGATTCCTACAGTGCTGGAATTACTGGTGTGCACACCACACCCAACTGTCTTCTGTTTTCTCCACCCCTCTGCTGTCACATATGCTCACATTCCACTTGCACAGTCCAGTTGACCAGAAACTAATCCAGTCAAAAAATTTCCTCTTTTTTTTTCTTTTTGAGACAGTGTCTCATTGCATAATTCGGGCAGGCCTTCAACTCACTTTGTAGCCTAGACTGGGTGCCTTCCGCAGCTTCCTGAGTGCTGGGATTACAGGTGTGCACCATCACACCTGCCTCATCCCTCTCTCCCCCTCCATATTAAGTTCTTTCACAAAGCTGAGTATCATATCTAATAAACTAGTCTGAGGTAGAGAATTTGATGTTACATCTTCTAGGAGAATTAGCATTTTAGAAGAATAGCCTGCAAGGGTCAATATGTAATGCTTGGAGTGGCTCAAAAGATGGATTGATTGCCAGGCAATGTAATAGGTAAATGGTAGAGTCCAGAAAATAAGATAATGGTGACCCTCATTGTCTAACTACTGAAGTGACTAGGTCATTCACTCACAGGCATGGACTACCTGACCTTGCTTTCCATGTGCAGTAGGTTAAGGAATAGCACAAAGGCCCATATCTTAAGCAGCTGGTCACAGCCCACACAACATAAACAAAGAAAATGTGTACATAGGCTGTGGGTATCCAACTTCTGACCACTACCTGCATTCCCTCAAGTGTCGTCAGCTGTGGTATGGCCCACCTTGTCCTCAAGTCCTGATGTTAGGCCTAGTATTACTGATGAGAAAATGGAACTTCAAAGAAGTGACTTAGCAGTAGTCCTAGTATCAGGGCCTAGCCCAGTGCTAGAACTTTTGCCAAAAAGCCCATGCTGTGTCCCCATTTACTGAAGCTTTCCCTAGGGATCTTGAGGGAAGAGGATGTTAGGCCAGAGAGGGAGAGAATAAAGTCAAATAATCAAAATCAACCCAGGTCCAGGACCCAAACAGAATTGGCAGCTGTCAGAGAACTTTT